CTAGATTATATCAGACGCCTATAGAAGGGTATATATGTCAAATAGATGCTGTTCAAAAACACATTGAGACATCCGATATCCCTTGATAAAAGTTAAAGTGGAAAAGCTAGAAAATATTCCTCCTCTAACATCACCTTTCTATCATTCCTGAGAAGTTTTGAGCCTCTCCTAGATTAGAATCGCTCCGCCGCCTCTGTTTCCATTAGACCACTGTTGAAAATGATAGTTAATTTTTTAATAATGGTGTACAGATGTCGTACCAAATTTGATTTCTCTTTCTCAAAATTTGATTCAGTTATCAAAATTATACTATAAAAATTACTTTTTTTTAACGAACTATATGATGAAAAGCCGCTTTTATTAGAAAAAAAATGGTCCAATTTAGATCAGATGTTCACAATATTCCCTTAGGATTCAATCTCAAGCTTAAAAGAAATTGGTTCGAATTTTTTTTCGACCAATACCTTGTCGTTGATAAAGTCATAAATTTTCATGCGTCTATCGTCTTTACTAATCATCTATGAAATAAATAGCGAGCAACGGAAGTTCTTTTCCCTGATATATCCAATTGTTATGTTAGTCATTTAATGATTTTTCTATGGCAACCATGCAAGCATCGTTTCTCCTTCTTTATTTTACCTTTACTTATCTTTATTTGATAAAGTATATAAAAATTGATATCCCCAGTTCTGGCAGGAATTTTATCTTCGTTCACGGTTATTCAACAGCAAAAAATATAAGTTTTTTTATATTTATAAACAGACATATACAGATATTTGTCTTGAATATTCTTATTTATTTCTTCTTTTGTTGTCGTTTAATTTGAACATAAAATTGCTCGTTAACTAAAGAAAAAGGTATTTTTAGGAAACTTTGGTTACCTACAACAGAATATTTGTTTCTGGTTACAAGAAATGAATAATGATCGTGCACAAGTGCAATTTAAAGCATATTTAAAAGCATTGAGTGTTCATTACCCAAGCAGACAAACTTTTGAGAAAACGCGTTTAAACACACAAAAATTGGCCTAAAATCAGCAAAACGTGGACGTTTTTGGCTCACACTTGAGGTTCCCGACTGTGAGTCAAAAATGCCCATTTTTCGTCCGTTTTGTGCGTTTACACGCATACAAAAGAAAGAAAAAAGTTGTTCTGCTTTTCCAGCTCGAGAAACGTGACTGTAATCATGATCGAGCATCTGGAATATTAAAAACGACCACTTTTTCTCTTTTCTGTAAACGCGTTTATTGTCTGAAAACGCGTTTAAACGCATTTTCTCAAAAGTTTGTCTGTCTGGGTATGTGTATCGAACAGTTCTAAAAAAAACATATGAATTCTATTGTTTATGTCTTCAGTGAGGGAAGTCCACGTCAATTGCTTAATCTCTATCCTTTGAGAGAACAAAACCAAGAGCTATTGCTTCTAGTACTCTTGCTTCATATTTTACACTGTAGATAGTTTATGAAGTATTCTATCAAAGAAAGCTCAATATATGTATCTAAAGGTTAAATAATTGTTTTCAGAATTTGTTCTAACATTTAGAAAATATTTTCCAAAATTTTCTAATTTTATGGAGAAAATTTTGATTTCTCAGTGTACGATCTAGGAATCCTACGTATACGACACATTGTTCGAAGATGACCAGATAGTTTTTAGTGATACCAAATAAAACTGTTGTAGGTGCTCTGAATTATGTTGCATCATATAAAGCTATATGGGAAATCCATGGTTAGACATTATTTTGAAAAACGGATCGTAAGTAGTATAGATTTTATCGAGTCGAGTAAGCGATTTTTTCAATAGAAATATTCCTCTCTTAAAGTAGTACACTGCTGTTGTTTGTAAATACTTTTTCTTCAAGTGTCTAGTCAATCAAAAGATTCCATTAGTCACTAAAACCCAAAGAGTAAATTCGTTTTTGAACCAAATAACTTAAAAGATTTTAAGTGAAATATTGTTTGGTGATGCTAGCAATCGTTTCAAATTTTATATTAATTGTTTATTCAGAGTATTTAAATCTATCAGATTCTATTGACAAAGTTTTTAATACAATATATTAATGTGTCCTTACTTTGACTTGTGTGTGTAATTAGGACTGCTGGTGCTATGGAAATCAACAACAACTACGAAGAACATACTGAAGAAGTACGACTAAATTCAAGTGATTATGATGTTATCATCGATTTTAATGATATTAATAAAATTTTAATTCGAGACAATATGGTTTTAAATTGTAAACATATATTGAGAACTGATGGTCTGAAGTCTGATATTCAACTTATAAACGATTTACTACATGGTATTGTAAAGTTGAATAGAGACATATTGAAAAGAGAAATATGACCTCAAATCTCTCGTCAATGAATGGATAAAGAGTTGTATAATGATGTTGTTAATTGGTTAGATACAGAAGGACCTATAATCATCGTTAAGTACCTACCGTTTTTATCTATGACATGCAATACGACTTTCTATCAATGTAATATAGGAAATCATAAGGATCATGGTCGTATATGGATACCTGTTGAGCAAAATCATGATATAGCGAACGCTATTTATTATATATGTGATACATCAGGACAAAATATCATAGCTATATCGATTACAGATCATTCCTATATCAATCATATTCATAATAAATTATCATTAACAAATGTCGACGGTGATGACAAAGTTCAATTATATTGTATACTGATTTCTGAATATTTTAAACAAGCAAAAAGTCTTCAATTTCATCAACACTTACTCTTATTATCTAAATGGCAATCTATATACAAATGTTATAAGGCTAGAATGAAATTACCACGTGATCTTACTCTTATTGATCTCTTGGGTTATTGCCAATGTCTAATTATGCTTAGTAAATATAGTGAAGTTGAAACTTTGTTACTAACTATATTACTCGTAATAAATGAAATAGATGAAATATGGTATCTACTTGTTAAAGCACAGCATAATCGTAAAAAAGAAAAATATGAAACATATTCATTAGTTAAAACAACTATTCATAATGCACTTCGTTTGAATAAAAATAATAAAGAAGTCAAAAATGAACAAGCAATAATCAAGAAACTAATAGCACGAAGATCACAAGAAGAAGCATCTGCAAATCATGATATCGATCATAGAAAAACGTGATGATAATTGTTCGTCTTATAATATTTTATCAATTGATGGTGGTGGAATTTGTGGAATAATGGCTACTATTTGGTTACGTGAATTAGAACGAGAAACGAAGCGAACTTGTTCATCTATGTTTCAAATGATGGCTGGAACATCAATAGGTGCTATTATTGCTGCTGGTTTATCTATGCCTAAGGAAAATGATCGGACAATACCAGTTTATGATGTTTCTCAACTAGTTGAGCTCTATAAAACTTGTGGAAGAGATATATTTATTAAAAAATCTTGTATATTCTGCAACTATAATAAAAGTTCTTACTCTTTAGCACCTAAATATTCCTCTGATGGTAAAAGAAACTTATTTGAACACTATTTTGGTAAAACTTTATTATCTGAATGTTTAACGGATATTGTAATACCCATTGTAAGGACTGGCGATACTAATACTCATTTATTTACAAGAAATGACAGTTTATATTCAATAAGTTTGATAGATGTTCTAATGGCAACAATTGCTGCACCTACTTATTTTAAACCGCATATTTTGAATGATATAAATTGTATTGATGGCGGTGTACAAATGAATAATCCAACAATGGCTGCATATACAAAAGCTATTGAATATGGTTATGAGAAAGAAAATATATTTGTATTATCATTGGGTACAGGTGATTATATAGTAGATCCATTGAAGCCTAATGATCATCCAAATATTATCTATTATTTGAAAAATCTGAATACCATAGCTAAAGTTTTCCTTGATAGTCAACAACATAATGTGGATTATCAGATGAGCATTTTAATGAATGACAAACATTATTATCGGTGGCAAGTATGGTTCGAAGAATCTATTGAATTAGATAAATATGAAATAGATGTAGTAAATAAATTAGAAAATATGGCTTATGAATATTGGGAAGAAATGAAAATCTAAGATGATAATAGATTAAATAGATTAATTGAGCGTTTAAGATCTGAATAAAATATAAGAGGGAAAAGCAAAAAAATATTGCCATGAAGGGTGTGAGTGTATACTAAGAGAAGACTTACACCCACACCCCACACCCAAGTTTACAATAGAAAAATAGAGAAGAAAGAAGAAAAAATGAAGGTATTCCAAGTACACGCACCGTCGACCTCAATTGGTTTATTTCTAAAAGTCTGTATAGATGCAAAGAAAAATAGAATAAGACAAACAGAAAAGATAAAATAACAATAAATTATGTCAATTACATCCTGTTGAGAACATAAAAGTGTATACAGTATATAGTGACATCATTGGCGTGCAGTCTTGGATAATAGATAGAGAAGAGAAAAGAAGATATGCTTCAGAATGATAGAAAGTCACTGTATCATTATGTGCACTCTTTGGGTTACTTGTGAAGTTTATTTAATCATTTTATTCAATGTGTTTGGTTTGGCTTATTTATTTACTTTTAGTTTTATTTAACGTTTGAAAGTCGATCACAAGTCAGTTTTTCTCTCTTAATATGTTGAATTCTTTTTACGGCATAACAATGTCTAACTTTGACTCCAGTGAAGGTCAAAATCTATTAATCGCTTTGTTTTCTATTGTCGAAAATAGTTGATGACTTTCGTGGAACCCAAGTATAAAATGAGATTTTATATAATTGACAGAAAACATAGAAGAGAATTCTCAAGATATTTATTGTAATAGTCGTATAACATTTTGATGTTTACACTGTCTTACTCAATCATGAGATACCAATATATTATGAAGATTCATGAAATCTGATGGAATCGATTATTCATCTTTGACATACATGTGCATTTCATTTGCAAGGTTTTGCAAAAAGAAATCTCAAATCCCTATTATTTTTCCACGAGAAAACAATATTTTGTACTGATATAATAATATTTTGTGATTGTTAATCATGTTTCAGTCGAAGTCAGTAACATCCTCAAATTTCTTATTATTCAGTTGAAATACTATTATTTTCTGTCTATTTTAAAAATAAAATAAAAAATTAACTTTCGTATTTCATCTTTTTTTCTTTGTTGTAAATTAAAATACATTAAATGACCAGGGCAATGCGATTCGGTAACAAATCACGATTTACTGACTTTGAAGATTAACCTGTGGATCAACTATTACCATCTAAAGAGAGGCTATCATCGGCAACCACTTGTTTCACTAGTTGAAACGATTCAGCCTGTTTCCAGTCTTTTTCTTGAAATTAAAGATAATCTTATGGTTGCATTATATAATGCTCAAAACTCTACTCATCGATTAGCTATAGATGAATCAGCTTCTATACATGTACATAGTATGGAATTTGACAGAGGTCCAAGTTTATTTGAATTACTTGATCAATCATTACGTGATGCAAATCGGGGTGTGAGTGAGTGTGTGATTGAAGCAAATATTCTAAACCCCAACCCACACCCACACTCACACCCTCAACTTTTTAGTGGACAGAAGTAAAAGGTGAAATAAAGGACAAATGTAAGAAAATCCCCTTTTTAACTATGAGAGTACGAGATAACTCTGCTATCGGATTGTACTGCAGTTATGAATAAATCTTTACCTCAACATGTTATAGGAATGGGAATTTCCATGGCGGTTCCTGTAACACGGCTAGTAAGTATTGCACACAGATCTTAGTGATTTCTAGTATAACATATTCAGTAGTTTATTACGCATATCATAAAGAACCTTCAACTACATTAGTTTAAAGAATTAGGAAAAGAAAAAAAATTCCAAGCTTTGTCATTAATAAAACAATCAAACAGTTCCCGTTTATAGCGTATCAGAATCGGTTTTTTAGAATATACATGTGTTCGTTGATCATTTATTGCTTCTGTTTCAAAACATCAAGCTCTCGATCTGCTGATTGTTTTAATGTATCTGCATTTACCCATACATTTTCTTTTATTTTGAACGTATTGATTGTATCTTTAATAGCTTGGTTTAATTCTTCTTGCGTAACTACATTTTTCTGTACATTAAATATAAAAGGCATATATTTTGTTAATAATGTTTGTATATCATTTGTACATTTATCATACAAGGTACGTATTGCTGCTACATCAATTGCTCCAATGACAAATGCAATACTTAGACCAGCTGCCAAAAGTGCTCCAGCTGCTGCTAAAAGTACTGCACCAGCATCAAGTGTAAAACAACATGCATTGGCAGGCAAAAAATGCATCACAAGTCCACCAACAAGAACTGTAAAGACGGTCGAAGAAGCAGCAGCGCAGCTGACAAAAGTCCGATATTTATGTTTTAGACGATCACTCTCAATTGCCACAGACTTTAACACTTGAAGAATTGGGCCAGTTATTTGGTGACATTGAGATGCAAACATATCGAAAACTTGCATCCAAGTTTCATGAAATCGTACATGTGGTTCTTGTAAAGCTTTTCCAATAAGAATTTTTGTTTGTTCAACGAATGCAATCTGTATACGAATGTATTCTTTATGTGCACTATTTTAAATTTCATTACACGTTTGATATGTTCTATCAGATATTTGTTTTTCATTTGTTATATCTGTTTGAATTTGTTGAATCAAATTTGTTGCTTGATATGATACAAGTTTTATGATTGATGAATGAATGGGAATCGCTTTGTCTAAAGTCGTAGCTGCCATTGAGATAGATCATTGAGTGGTGAGTCGATATACAGCTTGATACCTCAATAAACTTTTCATATTAAAGACATATGTTGATAATTAAGCGAAAAGAAATTAACTGCAGTATATGCTGCTTGATTTTTCCACGAAAATACAATGACAAAATGTTTTTTTCTTCACATTACTTGACTCTTACGTAACTGACATTTTTCTCATTACAAATAGCTTGAAGAAAACCAAATGATGCAAACTTCTTCGTTCTATTAAAAAATAATATCTTGACTAGGGGTAGCCCTTCTAACGTAATTTTAAATTAAGTTTAAATTTTTTACTTAACACATAATATTAATTAAAAAAGTTTTGCAGCAATCATTTAATTACTTAATATTAAGTGTTAACGCATCACTTAATCTTTAAGGATGTGGGTGTGTGTATGTACCTTCCAGTTAGAGTCAAACTCATACCCATATCCTGATATATTCAACAAAATGTTCTCAAGATGAAGACTACCAGAGGCGGCGGAGCGATTCTAATCTAGGAGAGGCTCAAAACTTCTCAGGAATGATAGAAAGGTGATGTTAGGTGAGGGATATTTTCTAGCTTTTCCACTTTAACTTTTATCAAGGGATATCGGATGTCTCAATGTGTTTTTGAACAGCATCTATTTGACATATATACCCTTCTATAGGCGTCTGATATAATCTAGGAGCATTGTCGAAAGGTGTCCTATGGGAGTTGAGAATCCTTCGTGGTTTATTTTTTTTTTTTTGGAATTTCCAGGATTCATTTTAATTAAAAAATTTCTCTATTTCATAGCATAGAACATAATATAACTTTACTAAAAGAAATCCATGATTTGCAAGAATAAGCGTTCATCTTTCACATGTTCGTCATCTGAAGTTTTGTCTACTTTTATCTTCGGTGTCATATGCTCGTGTTTACTTCAATTTCGTTCAGTTGACGATGAAAGAAGTACCTAAGTAAAGGAACTTTCAGAAAAGTTTCGAAAAAATAAAATATAGACGCTGTTGTTGAATTCTCTACAACAATGCATCACAACGTCTTGTTCACCTGTCCTGATGAGTTTTTAGAACAGTGAAAGATAATACATATAAAACATTGCTATGTCGTATCATGTTGAAATTAATAAAAATAT